CCCCCCCCCCCCCCCCGTCAGTGGGTGGCAGGGCACAGCCAGAGACAAGGCTGAGGAGAGAGAGAGCAATGCGGGAGGCTGAGCTGGCCGTAGAGGGGGGAGCAGCCCCAGACACTGGAGCCGCAGCTGATGCCCCTCAGGAAGATGGGAGTGTAGGGGAGGGCAGGCTGTGGGCCCCAGACGGGGGGTGGTGGGCACTCGGCAGCCTCCTCACAATCCAGTGCCCCCACTGCTACCCCCACTCCAGGAAGAACCTCCTGCCTCTTCCCACCCACGCTGGAAGAGATTTCACAGAGGGCAGGTGCAAAAGAAACGGAAACAGCACCTCAGCGGCCACTTGTGAGCTGGGATCCTGAGAGCAATGTTGCTGCTGGGGGAGCCCAAGTCCTTCTACTGGGCTACCCAGCGGGAGGGAGGCGGCTTGGGGAGAGGAGATATTGGGGATCCATTCCTCTGGAGCACCATGAAGACGGTCTGCCATTGCTTCAACTGCCCTGAACACAGAACTGGAAGGCAGGGGGTCAACGAAGCAGGAAGGAGTCTAGATGGATTTCAAGGAGAGCTTTATGTCCTAAAGGGGTCACCAGAACCAGAGAGGGAGGTCGGTCGGAGGAGTCCTTGTAGGTCTCTATGATCGAGGGGGTGGGGAGGGAGTTGGGCTCAAGGCAGAGAACTAAATGGCACAGTAACAGGGGTGCCCTGGCGTCTGGAGTGAGAAGGCCCAGGCTGGACCCAGGTGTGCATCCGGGAGCCAGTTCTCTTTCCCTGTGGTGGGACTAGTGAGGCAGGGCTGGAATGAGCATTAGCTGAGTCTGGAATGTTTTCTCTGTGGAGCTATAACTAGGGTTCAGGCATACAGGCAAGGTGATGGGGGGTTGGAAGGCACGGACTAGCTGTGTGGCTACCTTGTGGGGGTCATGGGACTCCCACAGGCTTTTGGCTGACACAGGGCAGTGGAGCCCCGGGACCAGGTAGGAAAGCCTCCGTGCTTCCATTTTCTGCTTCCCATGCTCTCCCTTCCTGGTCTTCCCCTTCTCTCTGGGGTCTGAAGGATCCTGGTGGGATAGGGGAGATAAGGGGTGGGGCTTCTACAAGAGAATTACCTAGGCTGGGCCTGATGGGCCCCTGGATGGGTAAGGAGAACTCAGCAGCTTGGGGAGTGGGCCAGACCCCTTCAACCCTCTCAAGGCCACACACAACCCTGCCAACGAAGCCCTGAAAAACCCCATCCCATGGCCCTAGCACCCACGAGTCTCTCCCTCTGTGCTCCCTGCCCAGGCCCTTACTGCCAGCCATACCCAGCTTCGCCCCCCTTGTGTCCTCACCTGGGCCCTTAGTGCCGGCCTGCACCCCGCAGTTGCTGGTCCAGCTGGCAGAGCTGGTGGAGGAAGCCTCGGTTGGGGAAGACCCATCGGTGCTGCCTCACGGTGATCACAGCCTGGCGCAGGGACAGCTGCTGACGCAGCATGAGGTAGGCCAGGACCAGTGTGGCAGAGCGGCTCACGCCCACCACACAGTGCACCAGGACCTTGGCTGAGGAAGACATCCCGGTGAAAAACCCTTTCCCACCAGCAGGTCCACCCAAGGGCTAGGGTGGAGACCCAGGTTCCTTCCTCAGCCCTACCTTGGGCATACTCTGTGACCCTGGGCAAGTCATGCAGCCTCTGTGGGCCTCAGTTTCCCGATCTGTCAAGGGGGTAGACCAACACCTGTTCTGCCTACCCTTGGGATGGGGGTCTAAATTCCTTAACATGGCTTGCAAGACCCTTCAAAAGCTAGCCCCTGCTGGCCCTGCAGCCTCTCAGACCGTCCCAACTTTCAGCTCTAGGAACATGGGGTAACTTGCATTCCTTGAAACTGTTGTGGTCTCTGACCTCCAGCCTCACCACGTGCCATTTCAACTACCTGCAAATCATCTCCCCTGGTCTTGGTCTGACTAACTTCAACTACTCATCCATCAGGTTTCGACTGAAACGGCTTCCTCTGTGGCTTTCCTGACCACTAAAGGTATTACTTGAATCACAGAGCGGCTCACTGCTTTTGCATATGACCAGTGAATACTATCATAGAGGGAAGTCACCCCTTGTCCCTGGTCCGCTCAGTTGGGCACCTGTGCTCTCATAGCTTCACATTTGCTCACCCCTAGGAGTAGCCTCACAATACTTCACAATTGACTGTCTTTCTACCAGCTCCATGAGGGCAGGGACTCTGACTTCTGTAAGTCTAGGTTCCTAGTGTTTAGCTCAGTGCCGGGCACACTGCAGGTACTCAATAAATAGCTGGTGAATGATGTGGATGAAGAGCAAAAGAATGTCAGTGCTTTGGCTACTACCAAGTCGTGTGAGCTGTAGTCATGTCCTTCCCATAATGTAGATATCCAGGAAACTGAAGTCCAGAGAAGAACACTGACTTGCCCAGGGTTATGTAGCAAGGGGCACAGCTGTCTCTCAGGATGAACACAAAGCAGGGCCTCCAGCCTCCCCAGCACCTTCACTGTATTCTGGATATTTGCTTTTTTTTTTTTCCAGTTGAAAGTACGTTGGGCCAGACACCTAGGTACTAAATGGTGCTCTCCCAAGCCTGAGTGTTGCAGAGATGGTACTCCTTTGCTGTTTGAGAGATCTGGCCCCAGGGTTGCTCCTGACTCATGGCACGACCTTGTAGTCCAGGCCTCAGTTTCCCCATCTTGGAAGCAATGGTGTTAGATAAAATGCTGGAGCATTGAACAGAGGATTTTTAAAAACCAGGGGTGGGAGGGCATTGATGATGGAGGGGAAGCAGGGCATCCTCCCCATGAATAAGCAGGGTGGGATATGGGCTCAAACCCCAAGTCCTATCCCCAGGTGTGCTGAGGGCACGGTGGATGAAGTCTGCTGCGGAGGAGAAGTAAGCACTGATGTCGAAATCAGGGAGGTCGTGGGCTGGCACGCCCAGGTAGCTCACACTGCTGCCGTAGAAGTCAGGACCACCCTGACAGTAGAGGCCCCCGTGGGCGGCGTTCAGCACGTGGGTGATGCCCAGCTTCCACAGTTCAAAGCGGTTATTTGCCGTGGCCCTGGGGAGGGCAGGAAGGGGACTGGATGCTGGCTGAGCCATGGGATCCAGGAAGGAGGCTTTGCCTGGCCCAGTGCTTCAGCGGGACTGAGCCATTAGGGTCCAAAGGGAGCTGGAACCCAGCAAGCTCCAGTTGGGGTCTGCAGCCCACAGCCCCAATTCCCAGAGCTTTCTAGTGAGAGAGTGGTGGTGCAGGGGGTTATCTTTAGACTCTCTGTTTTCACAGGCGATCTTCCCCTGCATTGGCCAGGAGAGGAAAGAAGGATTCCTGTAGGCCTGGGACCGGGCTGTCCCTCCCTTCTTGCCCCATGGCCTCCCACACATATCCGGCCTCTCCTGGCTACCAACTCATACCTGCTTCTAATCTGCAAAGTGTTTAGAGGTGACACCTTTCCTGATTCACCTGCAGTTAGGCTTCTCCACCCACTTTGTGTCCAGAGGAGGGAGACTGGGACCAGGAAGGAGGGCTTTCGGTCGACTCCACTTCGTGCCCCAAATACCATTCCCCAGGCCTCTGCCCCCCTAGACTTGCCAGTTGTCCTGGATGTGCTAGAAGACTCAGGGACCTCCAGGAAGCTCCCGGCTTTCAGGCTGGCAGAGTTTCTGCTCCCCCTGGTGGCTGTTCCCTGTCACTGCACTGTCCTCAGTACCTGGGGGGTCCCTGAAGAAAGTCTCTGGCCTGGGATGCTCAAAGAAGAACTATTTCTCCTTGTGCCCATCCACTCCCATGTCTGGTAAAGAGCCCCCAAACTGCCTCTCGGTATCCCCACTCCCATTCCCCTCTGCCAGCTACCACTCACGCATCTCCTATGAAAAGGTTGGGCCAAACTTCATCCACGCGGCTGCTAGAAGCTTTCCCTGCCCTCAGGAGCTCCTCCAGCTCCAGGATGCTGGGGCAAGGCGTGGCTCCGGCATCTCCCCCCAGCTTTGAGAACGAGGCCTCAGCCATGGGCCAGCCCGCCCACCCTGCTGCCTCTGCGGTCACTCCTCTCTGCCTCTCCAGTGTCATTTCTCCTTCCCAGAGATTGACAGACACAGATGGGACAGAAGCAAGTGACTCAGCAAGTCACAGGGGCCTCTAGAGAGGATTGGGCCTTTTCCTTCCCAAGCCTACCCCTAGCCCCTAAACTCCATGTGAACATGGAATCAGTCTTCTGCATGACACTTTTAACTTTCTCAACCTCAGTTTCTTCATCTGTAAAATAAGGATAATCGCACTTACCTCAGAGAATTGTTGTGAGGACTAAATGAAACAAATGATGTTCCTAGGTGCTCAGGAACATTTGTTGAATTGATAGGCTTAGAGCCCTGCATAATGCTATTTGATTCTGAAGACCATGTTAAAGTAGAGATCCAGGGTGAAGAAGTGGCTGGCCTCTCCAGGATGAATGCTAGAAAAACTTTATAGGTCTGGGTGGGCCAAAAACTGGGTAGAAGCCAAATGTCTGTTTGATGAGCCTCTGAATTATAGAGGTCAGGGGCACTGTTCTTTTTTCTTTTGTTTTTTGAGTCACGGTCTCACACTGTCACCCAAGCTGAAGTGCAATAGCACAATCACAGCTCTACCCCCTGGGCTCAAGCAGTCCTTCTGCCTCAGCTTTCCCAGTAGCTGGGTCTACAGGTGAACTCCAACATACCCAGCTATTTTTTTTTTCCTTACATTTTTGTAGAGACAAAATCTCTCTATGTTGCCCAGGCTGGTCTCAAATTCCTGGGCTCAAGCAATCTTCCCACCTCAGGCTCCCAAAGTGCTAGGATTACAGGCATGGAGCTGCTGTGCCTGGCCTCAGGGATAGTTTTCTGAGTTGTAGAGTCTGAGAAATGTGGGAAGGAGACATGGAGGACCTCTCTTAAAGGGTACCCACAAAGTTCATGAGGGAAGGTCTGAACAATGGTCCTGTAATGAAGATGGCTGACTTTTCAAGAGAAGGCCGAAAGGGGCCTTGTATGTCAAAAAAGAAGAAGGGATGTGAGCATTGCCCTAGACATTGAGAGTCAAAGGACCTGTCATCAGAAACATTTTGAGGGTGGAAGGGAGATTCCTTTGTCTATAAGGGCTTTTGGCCCAGAATAGAATCTGAGAAAGGCCAACTCGTCCTTCTGCCAGAACTGGTTATCGGTACAAGAGATGAGTTGTCCTGCCTTCTCTCATGTGACTTCACAGAGGCCCTGTTGGGACCAGAAAGGGTATGAGTGGGAGTGGGAAGGATCCCAGCTGCCTCTGGCCTTGAGTCCAGCTTGAGGGGAGAGGCCACACCAGGGCAGTCTGCACTCATGTCCAACCTAGAACCTGCTCCCATTCAGAACCACTGAAGTGAAGCCCTGCACTGAGTGGGGAAGCAAGGCCAAGGAGAGGCTAGTGCCCAGATAGCAGCTGGCTTTGGACTTGGTTTACACAATACGAGACCTGGGTTGGGAGGGGGACTTCTCATGGTAGAGTAGCATAGTAGAGAAGAACATAGGTTCTGGTGTTAGACAGCTTTGGGTTGCAGTAACAGCTTGGGCACATATTAACTGCGGTATGTCAGGCTATATGTTTCCTGGCTTTTCTGTTATAGGATCTACCTTGTAGAGTTGGCACAAGGATTAAATGAGTATTTATATGGCGTTTGGCATAGACACCGTCAGGGAGTAAATTATAACAATGATCACTGGGGGTTGGCTATGGAGAGGAGCTGGCTGCCTCCAGAGGAATTAGGATAACCTCCTAGGCCCTAACCCCATTTACTTATCCTACAGCTCCGCCCACCTCCACTAGCCGGGGTCCCTTCGGCCTCGGGCCTGACGCATGCGCCCTCGGGCTTCCCTGCTGCGGTTCCCCTTCTCGGTTCTCTTCTCGGGCTCGTCTGGAGCCTCGCGTCTCTTCCGGTGTTGGCCCCGCCCCCTGTCGGTAGGGCCCCGCCCCTCCGCTAGGGCCCCGCCTCCCGAAGCAGTTCCGGTTCGGCTCGGCGCGGCTGGCGGCGCGGCGGTGAGGCGGCCCGGGGCGATGCCTGCGCG